ACTAAAGGTTATTGATACTTTTTTGACAAAAATAGATTTCGAGAAATTTTTACAATACATTTTGTTAAGCCTTAGCCCCGGATTGCCCCGCCTAGCCCGGCTATTTAGATGGGGCCAGGCGGGGCTGGTGCTGACGGTATTTAAAGGTCATCAATAATCTGTCAAAATGCAAATATTGTGTGGATGCATCCATTGCCATTATATTGGATAACTGTGACAGATTTTTCTCAAAATAAGGACGAAAGAGATGAAAAGTTTGATCAACAAAATTCGAGTGTTTTGGATATCCAAAACAATGGAAATATTTCCATTATTTGTATGGTTTTATTTTTATAGTTTATTTTTTAATTTCGAGCAGCTATAATTAAAGCCACTAATAGTTTACCTCATCAGTTTTCCTTAAATTTTTTGACGCATGTGCCAAACCCTATATGGTTTTTTCCCCACATTTGATTTGCTATAGGAATATATTGCATAAATATCTAAATATTAAAAATATATAGAGTTAGCAGGGACGCAATAATCCCGTAACACTTGCGTCTTTTGAGTTTTCTCTTGTATAATATCGAAATGGAGGGCGAGTTGATCGACTAAAACCATGGCTGGACTTGGATTGTTCGAATACTTGTTAAATTTATTTCTACGGGCTAATGCGCTTGGTGTTCGCATACATTGACTAGTTCACTCAAACAAGCAGTTTGAGGATGCGATACGTCATCCTCTTGTTTTCCTTTATAACTGAAGTAAATAGAAGCCACTAATCTAGGCTATCCAGTTGGTGCCATTTCTTCTAAGTCAAGAGGACTTTCGAGGGCGAATCTCATACGTTACTCTTACATAAAATTTGTCAAGGGGATATTCACGGTAACTTTAGTAAGAAGACTTAAAAATTTTCTTCGCGTAGGATGCAAAGAGCAATTGCAGATGCAACAGAATATAAATGATAACCTTAAGCGATTAATGCCAGCACTGCATGAATTGGGTTCAACCGATGGCAGAGGACATGTGCAAAGATCTAGGTATCTCGATAACCTCCAAGTTTCGGCTCTTCTAACACAGCTAGTTAGTTCTCTCACGACCTAAGAGCATGACGTCCGATCACCAAATACGGCAGTATTACTGATACATCTTAAGTTCCTCGACTGGTCTGACTTTTCCCAATTTTTCGATTGCTGGATCCACTCATTTTCCATTTTTTCCCCTGTAAGAAAATAATACGTGCCAAGGCTCTAGTGTACCTTCCCCTCTCTTTCCACCGTAGGCTGCGTAGACTCTCGCGTCGTTTGCGTCAACAGAAGGGCACTTTTAGTCCTGCCCTTGATCCAACTGATCTTTGAGCAGGCTGAAAAGCTCTTCGAAGAAAATCAGATAGCCGATGATTTCAACTTTGCTGAAAATATTGCGAAACTCTTTTCATGTACAGTCAAAGCACCGTGAAAAGCGCAGCACCCCATTTTTAAACATGCCTTAGGAAACTCCATAGTTGACGCTAAGTTGACGTCTGATATCTTCAATGCCTTCCTATCCAGAACTTTTAATGAAAATTCGGTTGCTGCACTTCCGACTATCCGGGCTTGGACCGGTGCCATCCTCGAAACCATAGGTCTTACCCTCTGGGACGTGACTGTAGACATTCGTCTTTTTTTGCCAATCTCATGGTCCAGGACCAGATGGCGTCCTTGTTAGCCTTCTAAAAGCTGAGGCGATTAATATCTTCCCGTTTATTCTGTGTAAGATACTTAAACTTGCTCCTGCAAGCGGAACGTCTCCTACGTTATGGAAGGAATCGCACATACTGTCCATTCTCAAGCACGGCCGATCGACGTCTTTTGACGATTTAAGACCAATAAATACACTTCCCGCAGCTTCGAAAATCTTTGAGACCTTGATCGAAGA